AAGATTCGGTTGTAGCGAGGGAGAGTGTAATTATTGAATTGGGGGTGTCATAGAAAATACATGAATTGATGGATAAAAAGTGATTTTTTCCGATGAGAGAATTTTGTATCGATACTGATACAGGTGTTGAGCATTCAATTGAGATCACCCGGATAAAAATGAAATGAAATGAGTCTGATAAGATGGTAGGGCTAAATGATAGGCAGATTTGAATCAAATGGGGCTCGGGTGAGGGTCTAAAATTCCGACGATGATGAGGAATGAATGAGGTTTAAATAGGGGTTAACTACTGCGACGATAATACAACGATGACGATCAGGCTTAAATGAACACTGGATGAGGGTGAAATACAATGACTATCACCAAAGTCAAATGAAAGCTCTGATAAGGGTCAAGTTCTGCGATGAATATAATCTGATCCTGGTGAATCTTATTTGGATCGTTAGTCTGACTCTCATTATAACCCTCATAACCTGTATTTTGACGCTGGTGACCCTTAATTTCTGACCCTTGGTTTTTCACCTCCATGTTCTTTATTTGGACCCTTAATCTGACCCTTCTTACCCTTATATGGGCCTTTGATCTGACCTTTATGACCTTTAAGCTTATAACCCTTAATCTGACCCATGTAACCCTTAACCTGACCTTCGGGACCCTTAATCTGACCCTCATGACCCTTATTCTGACCCTAGTAACCCTTACGTTGACCCTCGTGACCTTCGTGATCCTTAATTTTTAAGTCTTAATTTCGAGTACCAAATTTTTATCACCAGAAGTCGATTTGGATTTTTATAATATAGAGAGATGATGGAACATTGGAAATTTGCAAAATTCATCATAAAAATCAAATCAACAGATATAGCTATCGTAGTTATCGGTGAACTTCCACAGTGTGGCATTGAAACTAACATTTTAAGCTATACTTAACCCGAGTCTGGTCACCTGACGGGAAAATGCGACTTTAGTCACCTTCGCGGGAGAGTGCCGCCGTGTTATTTAGGCTCCAGCGTTGCCGAATCCACTCTACACTTCCCGGGCGCGTTTAGCGAGTTCCCAGGAACGTCGCGCAACAGGCAATTTCATTTAACACAGGAAAAAATTGTTCACCTGTTTCAAATAATTTTTTTTCTCCCAGAATTAAAGATATAATATTGAAAAAAAATACTAGAATTTTCCAGATACTTCAATTGACGAATTCAATTTTTCTCAAATTTTTCCGGTCAATCAGTTGATGGCAAGGTGAATAAAAGGACGTGTTGCGGCAATTCCCTCGCATGGTGACCAGTCTAAGGTTAAATTAATTTGAAGCATGATATATCAAGATATTCCCGGAATTCCGATTTTCAAAAGATACAAAAATTTTGCCAATTTTTATATAAATCAAAACAACGATTATTGCTGTCGTTTTCATCTTTGAACTCCGTCAAGGGCATCCAAATAAATTTTTTAAGCCTTTATTCAATTAATTCATTTTTTATTACCGTGGGACAATCAATTTTTTGAAAAATTCAAAAATAAAAAAAATTCTTAAACAAATTAAATTTTGATTAATGTCGATGGATAGGGCTCAACAATACCTCAATTTGAGAGAAAGAAATGATTTAATTCCATCGATTCATTAGCGAGCAATTGAAGAAAACCTTTATCACCCTTTTTGGATCATAATGGGTCGATAAAACACAAAAAAACTGAAATTTAAATTTGAATTTAACCTCTCACTTTACATCATGACTTGTACAATAATCATGAAAAATGAAACAAATACACTTGTCCTGAAATCTCAATTAATCCCCACTGATCCGAAATATCCAATCTATTTCTCCTAACTCGAAAAACTGAAATCCTCAATCATTGTTCCAATAATCATGGACTTTGAAACAATCCTCCTCTGAATTTCATCACTAGACTCATCCCTTATCCAACAAGTCACCCATTTTACTCTAACAGTACAGTACAGTCAGACACGTCAACAATCTAGATTTAACTTCCTTTTCCTCCCAGCGTTTATTGGATTCTTCGAGTAACACCCCTCCCCTTCCCGTCAACCTTCGTCTGTCACATTTCATTGTAATTCTGAAGTTGTCTGCAGCAAATATTATTAGAGCTCAACTCTGTCAATAGTTTCACCAATCAAATACTTCATCATTTCGGATGCTCATCCAAAATTAACGTGTAAAGAACTACTGGAGGATGCACATTTGATTTTTAAACGGTAAATTGTAAATCGTTGAGCACATAATGATTCACTGATTCACGAAGAGAGAATATTCGGAGTGGTTTATTTATGACTCAGCGCTCTGTGTGAAAACCGCAAATAAATGGCAAACACGCAGCTATTTATCAAACTTGTAGCGTCGTACCTCGGGTTACACCAACTAATTACGAGTACACCAGGTTCGTATTAAACTTACATGGGTGGAAAAATGGTCATTAATATTCGGGATATCTCGACTTTCATTTTGGAGTCGAAAATTATGTGGGGGTGCAATAAAATGGGTTTATTAATTTTTGAGAGGAACATTTGGCGAATTCATGGAGCCATTCACTGATTATTTCCAAACAAATTATATTGGGAAATGATGAATTGATGACAGGTCGCATCAATGACGTCAGGGGTGAAACTAACAGAAAGGGTCAAATGAGGGTCAAATATTCAGACGAGGTTAGATGGGAGGAAAAATAGGCATTAATATTTGGGACATCTCGACTTTCATTTGCAGTCAAAAATTATGGGAGGGTAAAATAAAATGAATTTATCAATTTTTGGGAGATGCAATTGGCGAATTTATAGAGTCATTTATAGAACAAATTATGTTAGGAAATGATGAATTGATAACAGGCGCCATCAATGACGTCAAGAGTCAAACATAGAGGAAGGCTCATGGGAAGGAGAATGTCAAAGGTCGAGAGGGTCAAATATTCAGAAGAGGTTAAATGGGAGGAAAAATAGTCACTAATATTTGGGTCATCTCGACTTTCATTTCGGAGTCAACAATTCTGTGGGGGTGCAATGTCGTGGGTTTATGAATTTTTGGAAGAGGCAATTGGTAAATTTATGGAGTCATTCGCTGATTATTTCAAGACAAATTATGTTGGGAAATGATTAATTAATGACAGGGAGGATCAATGACGCCAAGAGTAAAAAATTATGTGAGGGTGACATCTTCATATTGACCCGTGTGAGGAGGAGAGGTCAATTTTTTTTAATCTTCATCCTCATGAGGTAGAGAGAATAATATTGAAAGGTTCAACATTTCAATATCGAGCTGTCACCTTCACGAGCGTCAAGACTGAAATTTCGACCCTGTTGAGAGTCAAAACATTAAATTAGACAACTGACCCTCAGGTAAAACACATAATTAAACGCAGCGTTGCATAATATTGCAGCAACAATAAGGGTCAAAATTACCGTTGAAAGACCCTCATGAACATTAAAATTTCAATATTGACCTTATGACCTCACAATATTAAAACTTTCGAACTTTCAATATTAATCTCTGACTCTCATGAAGAATGCATCTTCACACTGACCCTCATGGGGTTTTGAGAATAATATGTAAAGTTTCACCGTTTCAATACTAATCTTTCATCCTCATAACAGTCAATATTGAAATTTCGACCCTCATGAGGGTCGTCTGCCCTTACAATTAAAATGACCGTGGCGTAATATTACAGCGATAATAAAAGTGAAATTTGTTTAATTGACATTTGACCCTCATAAGGGTTAGGCATTACCCTTGAAGGTCAGACCCTCATGAATGTGAAAATTTCAATATTGACCTATCGATCTCACAAGATTGAAACTGTTGAACTGCGAATATTAATCTTTGACCCCCATGAGGGATGATATCTTCATATTAACCCTTGTGAGGGTGAGGTCAATATTTTTTCATCTTGACCCTCATGAGGATCGAAAATAATGTTCAAAGTTTCACCATTTCAAACCCGAGCTGTCACCCTCACAAGAATCAATATTCAAATTTCGACCTTCATGAGGGTGAGGTCAATATATATCTTGGCGCTCATGAGGTTTAGAGACTAATATTTAACGATTCAAAATTCCAGTGCTAATTTTTCACCCCCATGAGAGACAATGATGAAATTTCAACCCTCATGAGGGTTAAAATTTCAACATTGGCTTTTATCCTCACAATATTGAAATTCCGAAACCCTCAATATTAACGTCTGCTCTACATGAGGCTGAAACGTCAATATCGACATTTTGACCCTCATAAGGCTCATGACCCCAAACGTCAAGATTGAAAATATGAATAACCGCAAATCTATAAAAAACCATTCAATGTCTCCAATATTACTTTCCTCCAACCTTCTTCCCAACAAAAATCACCGCTATCGATTTAACCTCATTAGCCCATAATTCCCTCCACCAAACTTAAGTAATTACCCAAGAAAAATGTCTCTCTCCTAACAAACCTTATATCTCCCTGCATCAGATTCACTCCCATCGTGTGAGTAACATCAGCTCTCAGTTTCAAAGACTGAAATTTCTCTCGTCAGACACATAGAAAGCCCGTCCAAGATACAAGAACAAAGACAAAAAACAAGAGAGACTAAATGGTGGCGTCTGGATGGAAGAAAAGTGGACTTCAAAGGACCTCTTCACCTATTCCAAAGAACATTGAACCGAGGTACAATCGGAGTGCTCGTTAGTACCTCGATCTCGCACTATTTAATTAACAATTATCAATAACCAAAAAAAAGGAGATAACAAAAACATTCACCTCAATTGTTCTCTGCTAACGAAAAATGGATAAACAAAAACAAATAACTGTTTTCAGTTGCAACTGGTGAAAATTTTTCTCTGTCAAGTATTCCGTTTGTTTCACGAGGCCATTTCCTCCAGTGCACCTCTGATTCTTGGGAGAAACTGAATAGACAATGTACACATTTCAACAAACAGAATGAATTGTTTACCTGTAGCCTCTGCCCTCGGCTCGAGTTTCTCGATTTCAGTTGGTACTCTACGTTCAATTGTGAAAATACAACTCGAGTTTATCTTCACGTGAAAAATAAGAGTATATGGTGGAGGAGAGAGGTAAGAGGAAGTGAAGTGAATTATTGTTTGGACTCATGGGGGCAAGTGCATCGTCGTTGGAGGAGTGCGAGGGGGGGTTTACTCTGGAGGGTATGCTGGAGCAGACCAATCGAATGTTGCGTGAAGCGACGGAAGTTATTAGTAAGTGTTTGCAGATGGAGGAGAATGAATTGGAGGATTTTGAGAAACGGGCGGTTACGCAGGTAAATAAATTGTTTTTTTTTATCGGGATGGGTTTGCAATGGGAATAGTTGTTCTTCTGGCATAAATGTATGACAGGATGATATTATGTGGCTTTCATAGAGTGAACGGGCAGTGGTTGTCAAGTGTGATTGAGTTTTCGTCTTAAAAAAAATTATTTTTAGAGTTGGTGAGGGGATGACTTTGTCGGTCGATGTTTCAATTTTTAGGGAGGGAGAGCAATCGAGGATGAGAGGTCAATATGAAATTGAGGCTCATCTTGACAGTTTCAATATTTTCGACCTCTCACTCTGATAAGGGTCAGGCATTACTATTGAGCGTTGAATCCTTATGAGGGGCCAAATTTCAATATTGACCTCTCATCCTCACGATATTGAAATTTGTTAACCCCTAATATTAATTTCAGTCACTAATGAGAGTCCAACGTCAATACTGAAATCATGACCCTCATAAGGGTCTGAGATTAATATTGGGGATTAACAAAAGCGCCAATACTGAAATCTTGATCTTCATGAGGGTCAAAATTTCAATATTGACGTTTGACCCTCGTGAGGCTCAGTGATTCATATTGAAAGTTTTAAAAAATCTAACCTTTCGCCCTCACAAGAGTCAGTATTCAAATTTCGACCCTCATGAGGGTCAATAAATTTAATTCGGTGTCAGACCATGATACAACAATCATAATCAGAAGGACCAAGGCGTAATATTGCAACAACAATGAGGAGAAAAATTTTCAATATTGACGTTTGACCCTCGTAAGGGTCAGACATTAATATTGAGAGTTAAAACCTCATGAGGGTCACAATTTCAATAGTGATCTCTGACCATCACAGTATTGAAATTTTTCAAACCTCAAATATTAAACTAAGACCCTTATGAGGGTTAAAAATCAATACTGAAATATTGACCCTCATGATCTCGAACTGCAATATTGAAATTTAGATCCTCATGAGAGTCAAACGTTGGAATTAAAAATATAAGAACATAGATTCTTACGCCTGATCGAGTTTTCGTCCTTAGAGAAATTGTTTAAAGGGTTAATGAAAGAAAGAAAAAAATGTTTTTAATTAGAAACAGCTCCTCTGTAAATAACCTCTGGTAATAACCCCATTTTCTTATTCCCCCAGATAGAGACAGCATTCCAAACCATTCAAGAAAAACTATCCGAGATATCGAAGCGTGGAGCAATAGCACGTGAGTGCATCGATCAAAAAGCATCAGAATTCTTAAAAATCCGTACAACAATGAAAAGTAACCTTCTTGACTGTTACAACAAGCACAAAAAAGCAGTTGAAAAATTGAAAAATGAACGTTCCTCCATGCACAATGAGGCGAGTCAATTCAAGAACGATGCACAAAAGATGCTGGAGAGTTGTATGACAAGTGAAGATCGTCTCAATTGTCTGAGAAGTAGTATCGCTGAATTGGCTAAACGAGGAAGTGATCTATTGAAAAAGTTCGATGCACTAGTCAAACTAGAAACTGAGACACAAATAAAATGGGGTAAATTGGTGGTTGAATGCGACAAGAAAGCTATAGAGGATGCACAGAAGCAGGCAACTAAAATCATTGAGGATATCGTAAAATGCTGTCTAGGTGCTGGAAATACTCTGACCAAATTATAGAGGTGCCTCAACTTTTCTTCATCTCGCACTATGATGAAGAGAACTGACAGGAGCAGGATTCACTTTTTGTTATGATAATTCTTCTTTGAAAAGTGCTTTTCTTCCCGATGATAGCTACATTCAGAATTTTATTGCCGATCCGAGATGCTGCAGTACTTCATGCAGGTCAGCGGACGTTATGACAAAAATATAGAGTCAATAGTGAACTTTCCTTGCTTTCCTATTAAATGAAAAGATTGAAATCAAAACTACCTCGAGAGCAATAAAATTCGACAGAATATTTTTCCAGAAACATTTTTCTGCTTTCACAAAGGGGGTTGAATCCCGTTGCAAAGAAAACTTGATAAGATTTTTTTCATCAAATATTCATTTGTCTGAGTCGATGAAACGAAGAAGAGGAATTTCACCTTTTACTGATCCAATGCGTCGGAAGGATCGCCGAGTTTCAATTGTCCCCTTTATTAGTTTTCCGTCCGCTCTATTGCTGTTTTAATATTCTCAACTAGAATCGTAAACTATCCCAATAAGAGCTGAATTGTGTCACTGGAAACTCCAACACTGCGGGATATTTAATTGATTTGGACACCGTGAATTCATACGGACTGCGGTGCTATAAGGCAAGTTAGATCATACTTGGAGTTTTCCCATAGGATAGAACAGGAATGCGACCGCCCGATAGAAATTCTCAGAGTCCCAGTGGGGGGCTATGCGGTCACTGGCCATTGCACGTCGGTGTCTTTTAATTGGACTGAGTAGGGACGGCGAGTTAATAGCGATATCTTTAGATTATAATGCTTTTCTCCGTTTGGTGAGTGATGACTGCGATTTGTCCATATCAGTATGCTCATCTTTTCGTAATAGATAATTGTTACCATTATCATCAATTGATAGATTGAATGGCTCTGTTGGCTAATTAAATTTGATTCTGCGACATCTGACAAGGTCAGATGAATATGATGATAACCCAATCGGTCATGCTTTATTGAACTTGGAAAATAAGAAGACTTCCTGTCATTTGGTAATTGCTCAACCACATCCTCATCTTGTGTACCCTTTCAAACTTGATATTTTTTATAGCGGTCTATCGTCAAAAAAAGCTGATGATGACGTGATTGATATTACCTGTTTTATTTTACCCTGTTCCATGCCATTTTTCTTCAAATGAAGCTGCCGTTATGATGCCTGTCATGGCCTCTATTATGATCTCCGTCATAATCTCCATTATGATGGCTGTCATAATCTCCATCATAATCTCCGCCATAATCTCCATCATGAACCCTGTCGTGATCTCCACCATGTTCTCCGTCACGATCTCTACCATAATCTGCATCATCATCATCTGTGTCATGACCTCCGCCATAATCTCCATCATGATCTCCATGACGATCTCCATCATGATGTTCATCAAGAACTCCGTCATTAGCACTGTCATGATATCCATCATAATCTGCGTCACGATCGCTGTCAAAATCTCCATCATGATCTCCTACACGATCTGCCGCTTGACCCATCGGATTCCCCAACATGAAAACTACCTGATTTTCATCAGACAGTTCCCATGCTGCCTGATCGAGGTCTGATAATTAATCTGTACCACCAACAATATCACGAATGATCTAGTTCATTAAATTAGATTTACAAATTCAAGCCGGAAAGGTAGTCACAGTAATGTAAAAACCCATAAAACGGAAGAGACAAGAAACATCACGCAGTAAAACCGTCTGAAAGGATTTCAGAGCTTGCGCCCAATTTCTACAAAAAAGTTGTTCTAATTCCTTTTCATCCTTACACCCAACCAAAAGAGCAAAAATTCTCCATTTCAGCTAATTCAACTCAAGGCTCTCGTCTCTCTTGTTTATTTATTTTAATGAGAAAATATTTCACTTGATCTCAAGCTGAGTCACTCTCACTAACAGCAGCCAACTTCACTATTCCCTTCCCGGAAAGTACAAAATCCCGAACACTCTGCCAGACACTATTGCTACTCCCTCACGACAACGATCTGCGCTCCTGAATTTTTTTTCTACTTTATTCCATTCTGCATCTCTTCCATACCCCTCATTTTTTTCTTCTCTAGTTACCTTACACAGTACTCGGGGTAATGACTTTTTTCTTCCATTTTGTAATAAGAAAAGTCCACTGGTGAAGTAGCTACTGGTGAATATGCAAAGTATTACTGAACTTTTGACTGCCACGGGGAGAATAAGAGGAGAAGAATACTTTTATTAAACTTTTAAGATCCGCTACGGTCTCTTTCATATGGAAATAAGAGAACTCTGTTGACCGCCTCCTTCACCATTGGCCCTTTTTACGTTGAGCGAGTCAAAGACTAGAGCCCTTCAAATTCGATACTGGAAAACTTGTGAAAATTGATATTTCCATCGTAAATACTTTTCAGATGACAGTTTGTTGTACGTTGAACTGTGATACTTCAACATCAAAGAAAAATTTAATGCAGGACAAAGAATTCAATTTTCTATTTTAATCATGTAAAACTTGTTGGAATTTCTTTGAGGAGTGAAATATCAATTTGACATTGTGAACGGATTAACTGTCAGAGGAAGCTGTGGAGTCGACGAAGCGTTGAAGAGAAAATTAATATTTTTTGTGTAACGTAAAAGCTAACGGCCAAACCAGCGGAAATTTCAGGAAAAAATTTGGATGTTTGATTATGTCAAATATCTGTTTTGTCAGAGATACTTTCCTGGTAATCATCGTTATCACCATCATCATCATCATCATCATTTCCAACATCACAATTCAATTTTTCTCCATTCGCATCCACCGAGAAATAATTTGACTCTTGCAACTATCGGAAATTCTTGCGGTCCCAGCCACATCACGTACCACGATCTACCATCGCATCCCTGCAGGTGGACAAATGTCTCCCTGAAATTCGAGTACACCCTCGTTCCCTATCCACCATTCGCATTATTCCCCACGTAGCAGGATTAATACCAGAAAACGGTATTACACATGTAATTTAATGTATTCCAAGGAAATTTAATCCACCGCATAATACCAAGGAGATGCGGTAATGTCTAGCGCTAAGTAATGCCTTCGTCACGTCATAATTTCTCTCCTCACCCGTGCTCCGTCTTCTGCACAGATGAAAGACCGAAAAAGGGACATCTAGTCAGATAGTGTAAGATCCTTCTAGAATTGCTCGTCTCACTACCGAAAGATTAAGACCAGGTAGCTGAGTTGGTACCCAACAGTTTCAAGTATTTTCACCGTAGGCTTTGGCTTCACCGAGACTAATTAGTTAATGAGACAACTGCTGTGGCATCTCCCTCACTTTCACTGCAGCATCTTTCTCGGGTAAAGAAGTTAATCACCGTCCAGGGTAGAAACGGCACAACTTGGTTTCTCGCTGTCACCTCTAATTAGACTCTCTGTGTCAAAGCTGACTTCAGATATACGAATTTCGTTGCTTACTGGAATGAAATTTTGGGCTCCCTGTGATGAAATCCTATCTAAAAAAAAACATGAGCGACATTTCGAATTGAAAATGAGAATGCGCATATGGTGGATATCTCGAACGAATGGAGAAATTAAGGCGGTGTTCATGAGGACAATCGATTTACGTCGAATTTTCATCAAGCCCGCCTACATCTAAGGTTGACCGAGAAAATAGCGTTTGATTAATGTGACATTTGTTTTTGTTTTTTAAAGAGATTTTGCAAGTTTTTTTTTTCAAAACGGCCATGGTTATGCTCCTGGCCTTTTATTTCTGTTTCCCGAAATGGAATGAAAACAATTTTTTATTCTTTTCCGCTCACGAACCAGGACGTTCTATCGAATTTCAATCCCATAACTTTTGATAATTTATTTACACTCGGAACTCAATTGAAAAATATCTGTGGAATTTATCATTCATGCACCAAATTCAATTTGTGAATTCCCGAGCTCCCTCCTTGGTGCGTGTGGTTGTATTGCACTGCTACCAACTCCGTAACAAAAAACGATAGGAGATAACGTAGAATGCTAGCATGTGCATATGAACCCGTTGCTATGTGCGCAATTTTTTGAATATTGATTCGAGCAAAACAATAGTTACATTAATTGAGAAAATTGGGGTCGATTTATATAATGTGAGTGAATTTTTCATGTAGCTTACGTTTTATTAAATGGATGATTTGGTGGTAGTGGAGGGGGTCGTTGCTTCATGTCTAGATACACAGCAACGTTCGGCCACTTTTGTACACTCAGAGTCAAAACTTTTCCTTGGATGATACGTTACCGCGTATCTCGATTCATCGCGCTATCTACAAGTTTGAGTGCCAAATTAAAAATGGGCTATCGAAAACAGAAGAAGTAGCACTAATTTCATGAACGAAATTCTCAGATTCAATAGAGTACTGTTATAGAATGTAATTATACAACAATTCAATGTGAATGAATGCTAAACCCTCTGGAGTTTCTTCGGTCTCGGTAATCGAACTCACCTCTCAACTGTATCACAAAATATGAAAAAATCCCGGTAGATTAAATCCATCAAAGCCCTTTTTTTGGTTACAAAATATACTCCCAGGCCACCAACACTTTATATGTTATCTGTGGAATATTTTGTGTTATCTACTACCCAGTATGACTCACCGACTGCAGTGTATATATTCATGGGGTAGCAAATATTCACGGGTACACGAATTCGGCAATATCCGTCATCCAGCACTCTATCTCCTCTCTCTTTTTCCCAACCCTTCCCCCTCGTACTCACTGAGGGATTTGTAAATTATTGGAGTCGACGTTATCACAAGTGGATACGAGGCGACAACGAATCGGATTGCCCGGTAATTGATCGTACGTAACCACGGATGTAACAGTGTATGGGGAGTCTTTGCCTTCCCGTGATATTGTAAATAAATTTGTTATCTCAATCATAACTGGAACATTGTTGAAAATATTTTCTGGTAGGAGATGCGAAATGGGCCAAGATTGCCCGAGGGTGGTCCAATGAAAAAAGGCCCGGTGTTGATCAACATTGGGCCATCCTCGACCTACCCTGGGTCTTCTCATATCCTACCACGGTTGTTGGAGCTGTGGCCCAGATAGAAACTCTGGTAAGAGATGATGACTACCGAGATTGCCCAAGGGTGGACCTGCCCTGGCCTTCACTAGGCTATCCTTGATCGATCCTGGCCCATTCCTCAACTCTTAGAAGGGAATCATCGTGTGCGCC